CAACCATCGCCGTGGCGCATCGGTTGTCGACAATCCGCGATGCAGATGTGATCTATGTTTTCGGGGATGGAAAGATTATAGAGGTTGGAACCCACACCGAACTGCAGCAGCAGAGGGGCCTATACTGGCAGATGTGCCTTGCGCAGTCGCTGGACAAGGCGGTTGAAAAGGGACCGGAAGAAATTCATTAGTAATTTTAGTAGTTTAGACCATCTCACCCTAATCATTGTAATATACTAATTCTCCTATCTTGTTTCATTCTTATCCTGTGCTATGTTTATAACTCTAAAGGTTTTACACTCATTGCCAAAGATATCCCCACCACAGATCAGAAGGAAGCCGGTATTAATTTGCCATTAAAGGCAAGAACTTAGGTACCCAAGAGTCGCATCTTCCACATTCATCTACTGGCACGCACTGTCCCTCTAAAAGCAGGGGCGATGGACAGCTGGTTACATGGGCAGGTGCGATCTAGAAGGCTACAGTAATGGAAGGAGCGCCCAACAAGGTAGTCATCTGCTATAACTGACTCAATGGACCACGTTAAACCGCTCAATATCAGGCAAGCAAAAGCAAATACACATGGTTTTCAAAGACAAGAACGGCCATAAAAGCACAACCTGTGTGCTTTCACGATAACTAAGTTACCTCTAGAGGTATCTAGTCCAGTCCCTTAGCAAAGGAATCCTGGTAGATAGGGCTGCGCTGGATACCCTCTAGGAATGGAGGCTGGAGTAATTGGATGCGCACGGTTTGTGGACTATAGCTCAGTATCGATAGCGACTTTGGGCTCATGAGGCAGGCAGCAGGACCAGCAATCGCTCTGGAGAAATTTCGCAGTGTGAGTATGTTATCTTGATCATATTTAGTGTTAGACATACCAGCTTCTTTGGTTCCTGTTATTTAATAAATCGGGCTGTTAGCTTATATGATTATTTGAAAGTATGGGTCGTGCAGTGGTTGTGGGTCAGGAAACTATACCATCTTCCCGGGGCAGGTAGGTTCCTGCTGAAAGCATGCGCGGTGGCAAGATAGAGGTTCATCGTCCTCTTGTACCAGCTTGTCTTGCTCTGCCGATGCGAATATACTCGGCGTGGCTAGGGTCAAATGCAAAGCAAGAGCGGCTAGGATGGAGACAAAACGCATTTTGGGCTGTGTGAAGTATATAAACTAGATGGATGGATAGGAACAGGAACGTGAAGGAAGAAAAAGGTCGGACTGGATCCTGGGGCCTGAGGTTCCATTGTATTGCGCGGTGTTACTAAACAGAGAACAGTCTGGCTCTGCCAATGAGACAGGTCGATGATGATCCGAGGGGCAATCACATGTTTGGCTGTAACCCTCCAAGAGCCAGTGTTTCATCTTTCTTACTGTCTATTGGCGGGGAGATTACATATACCGAAATCAGATAAATTCCTAAACAAACTCAAACCAATAGACGCTTGCTGATATCAAAGAAATAAAACAAAGACGCGGCCTGCGACTTGCGCAAGGCAAAAAAACAAAAAAAAGTGAATCAACAAATCCTCGCCAGAAACCATAGGAAAAGGGGTCTCACAAATAATCACAGAGCAATATTAAATCATAGAAAGGTACTGAGCATTATTCAAGCATAAAGTCCAAAGGCAGTGTACAAGAAGACAACAAGGCTTGAACGAGTGGGTAGCCTTGACTCTGCGTCCGGAGACGTACAAACGCGGATCTCCGGAGGCAGTCTGGGGGCGCAAGGACAGAGGTCCAGGCACAGATATCAACTGGAAATCCAGAATTTGAACATAGAAAATTAAGCTGCTAGGTTCGACCTGCGGTGTTATTGATGTTGCGGATGGCGTTCATTGAAGCCATCAACCATTAGCCGCGCGGTTTTGTATAAAGATTGAGACCTAGCACTCCCGTGGTCAGGTCATAGAGTCATCAAGTCAGATGGTCTCATAATCGTGTTCTCGGATAAATGAACGGCCATATATGGAACGTAGCAGACTGGGACGCAGTAACGAAAGACAAGAACGATTTGAAACTTTTAGTAGGTCTCCATGTCGTCGGTCCAACCATTATCACTGTCGGCCACTCGTACCATATGCCCGCCAATTGGCTCGTCTGGGCTAACACTTCGGATACCCTTGACCTTTTTGCCTGCAAGGGATAATGGCTGATGGTGGTCTTCAGGAGCCAGGCGCTTCCCATGCGCAGCGCGGAGTTTAGCATAGTATGCATCACTTGGCTCGCCGTCCGATTCCGATGCATCATCAAAGGTTTCCCAATTCTCCGATCCCGTAGTTACCGTATCAGCTGTGGAGGTGCTCGACACCTGTCTTGGCGCTGGAGGCGGGGGCGCATGCTGAAGATATGGGTTTGGCCGCGGGTAGTGTCCTTGTAGCGACGACTTGAGAGACCCAGAAGAGTTTGAGGATTGAGATGATTGAGAGAACCCAGTGGATCGTTGGGAGAATATGGAAGAGCTCATAAAAGAACGCTGGCGATCATCATAAACATCCTCGGGGCTAACGGGCCGGACAAAGGAATTTGACAAGGCACTAGCACAGCGAGGAGGCTCGAACAAGTAGCTTCCTCCTCGCTCATCTTTATTGTCGGTGGCCGTGAGTGCTCTCATCCTCGGTGGTGGAGCTCGAGAAGAGGACATTTTGCCGCTCACAGTGCTAGAAGAATATGTACCCGGGCCCCGACGGTCAGGAGAGTTGTTCCCATGGGGCATATTCCCCAGTGGCACTCGTCCCGGTATTTTCGTTGGTGACTTGGCTCCCGATCTAGAGGGTCCAATGGTGTTATACTTTGTTGATTGACCTCCGGTGGGGGTCTTTGTGCTCGACCTTGGGGGCGGAGGACCCCGCATAACACTGCCAGGGCGAGATGGTGGAGCGTTTCGTTTGGTAGCACTTGATGGTGCAGCAGATGGTGTCTTCGACCGCGGGGGAGCCTTCGCGGCGATCTTGGTGAGCTCATCCAGGTAGCTCTCACCGTGAACCAGGAATGGTCGTCCGTACTCGTCCTCAAAGTTCTCAAGCTCTTTTCGAAGGTCAGCTTCAATCTTTGGCAGCTCCTTAGCAATTCTCTTTCTCATCTTCTCCTCCCTCAGCAATTTGCCGGGGTCACGTCTTTCTCCCTTGTTCCCGCGCGCCATAAGGCGCGACGCATCCTGGCTTGAGGCATTTAAAGCCTCGCGCTCCGCAAGAAGGCTGCGGTGTCTGTCAATTAGTTGCAAAGTTGGCGCACGCTGTTCCTTCAGGGTCTCTAGGCGTGCTATTTCCGCCTCGTGAGCTTCCAAGAGGGCGTCGCTATAGACATCAGAGAACGCAGGTGTGAAATCTAGCATATCTTCTTCTGAGAAATATAGACTGTCCCAGAGCTCCTGGAGCCGGCAGCGCGCATCCTCCACGAACAAGTGAAGGTTCTGACTTTTCAGCTCATTGAGGCGAGATAGCTCCTCCTCAAATTCATTGATCGTGCGAAGCCCGCAGCCACGGTTCGCGGCGAGGAATGCTTTTCTGTCACACTCCTCAACACCGAACCGCTCCCATAGTCCCTCTACGGCATTGCGAAGGTCTTTAAGCTTGCGCTCACGTCCTCTCTTTTCGTCCAAGAGTTTCTCCCTCCTTGCGAGCAAGTTTGTTAGGTCCGATTCGTGAAGGCCTAGTTGTTCGGGTGACTCGCGATAGTGCTGGACAATGCTAGAATCGGTCTGCGCCTGGGGCGTTCCAAGCTCAGCCCAAAGCTTAATGATCTCCTCACATGTTGTTGTAACAAGCTCAAGGCGCCGGTGGTACTCTTCGTATACTCTTGAGAACTCGTTGTCGAGCGCAGTAACATATGTGGGCGAGAGATCGAAACTAGGCGCGATTGACGAACCAGGCGCTGTTGGAGGAAGTTCGATGGATATGAAAGAGGTTTCAAGGTGAGAGGAATACGATTCAAGGGCCTCAACAAGCTCTGAAGGTTGTTAGTAGAGCGATATAACTCAAATATAACAAGAGAGAGCGTACTCTTAACCTGCTCGAACCGCTGTCGATGCAATTTGCTCACTGCACTGTGTTGTTCACGAAGAAAGGCGAGACAACGACTTAGCGGGTAAGTGACTTGTAAGTCATCATGGTCGAGGCTGTACTGGCCATTGGCCTTCTCGTCAACCAGGGACTCTTCCATTTGTTGAATCGCACTGATCAGTTTATGCGCTTCTTCTGTCATATCATGTTTCTCACTAAGGACAGAGGTCAGTTGGAGCGCATTGCAAGCAGGTCTATGATTCTCAATCCAAGAAGTGCATCACTTACTCATCGACCAGCTTCAAGTGGTTGTTGAGTGTTTCCGATAACGCGCTGAAGAGCTGCACGCAATAGTTAGCTTTGGCGCAGTGGATTCGTCAAAGTCTTGAAGAAAATACAAACCTCTTCTTCTCGAGACTCGCGCTCGTGGCCAGGGATCCCAATTTCATCAAAGATCCCATGGAGCTGGCTGACAATGTTGTTGACCTGAGTGGTCAAGTAGCTTGTATCAACGGCCATTGCGACTCGAGTCCCCAAGTCAGGGGAGTATTAACGAGTTTGACGCCGAGCACGGACTGCTGTCAGGACAAAGAAGTCAGAATATCAATATTCTCCGAAATGCGATCCGCTGGTCGTCATGTAAGAGTGCGGCGGCAATGCGCCTAGAAGAAAACAACAAGCTGGATGCCACGCGAGACCACAAATCAACAGTGAAGACAAACTGCAGAATGAGAGGACCCGCACAGCTTATATGCACAGAGCAACGACAAACAGTGAGGGAGTGGATGCAAGGGCCGAAGGGGAGCAATTAATCCAGGAGGAGTATTATTGTTTCTGTTGTTGGAGTTGAAGGCGAGCTGAGCCTTCCGCCTGCAAATCAAGATCCACTGTTGATCGATCGCTGTTTCTCGGGCAACCACTGACTCAGCGCTACCCCGCCCGTTTCTGCCGCATCTATATTCACCGCCTTTGGGCTTCTCCGCAACAACTCTCCAGCTTCAAGAGCTCCATGTACATTCAAAGCTGACCTCATTATCCTATTCAGATTCATCACGGTGATCGACTTCCAACAATTGCACCCCTTCTCTACTATAACTCCCGCAGTTTTATTCTACTTTTCGCTGCAACTTAGTCAGACCACTCAGCCAACACTCTCCCCACCTTTACACTTCCACCAGGGGAATTTCCTTCCCCACCTCACAGCTCATCATGCAAGCCGCCCAGCTGTCCTGGGGTTAGTGTTGAGATACTCCCCTCAGAATACATAAGTTGAAACATAGTTCTTACTCTTTTTATCAGAATTAGAAAATGCGGTCACCTTAATCGATCCTCAACGAGACGCTCTATACCAATACGATGAAGAAACGCACAAAGCCCTCAGCAACGCCCGCCCATGGTCAAAGGACCCCCACTATTTTAAGTCCATTCGCATATCCGCAGTTGCGCTCCTGAAAATGGTCATGCATGCCCGCTCCGGAGGCTCTCTGGAGGTCATGGGTCTAATGCAAGGCTATATCCTCCCAGAAACATTTGTCGTAACGGATGCCTTCCGCCTTCCCGTCGAGGGCACAGAGACTCGAGTTAACGCTCAAGACGAAGCGAACGAATACATGGTTTCATACCTTCAGGCTTGTCGTGATGCAGGGAGAATGGAAAACGCAGTTGGGTGGTACCACAGTCACCCCGGATACGGATGCTGGCTCTCGGGAATCGATGTCTCCACACAAGACATGCAACAACTCGGCGGTCCGTTTGTTGCTGTTGTCATTGATCCCGAACGAACTATTTCCGCAGGGAAGGTAGATATCGGTGCATTCAGGACGTTCCCCAAGGACTACACGCCACCAAAGGAGGAGCAAGAAGAAGACGAGTACCAGACCGTTCCGCTAAACAAGGCAGAGGACTTTGGAGCTCATGCATCTCATTACTACTCACTCGAGGTCTCTCTTTTCAAAAGTGCCCTCGATACGGAGATTCTCTCACTCCTCTGGAACAAGTACTGGGTGGCCACTCTCAGCCAAAGCCCCCTGTTCACCACGCGCGATTATGGAAGCAAACAAATGCTAGACCTCAGCCAGAAAACCCGGCGAGTAGCCCGAGGGATCGAAACCAACTCCTCCCGAGGTGGCGCACCTACTCAGATCAAAGACCCACAACTCGAGAGAGTTGTAAAAGATGGCCAACGAATCGTATCGGAGGAGGTAAAGGGATTGCTTGCCTCAGAAGTGAAAATGCAGCTCTTTCAAGGCATTGGAAAAAAGACAACAACAGGATCAAGTTGATTACTGAGATGCGTCCTGAGATAAATGAACTTGACTGAGCATAAAATACAAACGATGAAACGATCCGATATTTCCAATATCTTATACATAGACTTCCATATCAATAGATATTCGACTTTCGATGTCTTTGAAAAGACTATTAATCGTACGTTTATGTATGCGGGCTCTATGTCAGTAAATGTCCCGATTCCGCGGAGTGGATGTAATTCTACCACTAAGACGGACTTACGCCAAATTCTTATTATAGATCAAATAAACCACGCTAATGCCGTTAAATGACGTAGTCTAGAGATTTGTAGTGACCAGCCTTGAATCATTTGTTTTCATTAAACGCACGAGCCGCCCCAGCACCATCCAAATATCACATTTTCTGACTGTATCCAGTCAGCACTAATAGTGGATATACACGGCTTTTATCTTGCACTAACCAAGCAGCAGATAACACTTCCCTTGACAGACCTTTTCCCAAAGAATGCATTATGCAGAGTATAGTTAAGGTAGAGAAGAAAAGTATATGGATTCAATACTAACATATACCAAACTTGTACAGGATAATGTATATAGAACATTGAAGCGAAAGGCACAAAACAGAAAAATCATAATCTTTGAGCAAAGACAACGCATATGCTGCGCTAGGTATCTTGCGTCGTAACAATCATTATCCAAACATAAACGGACTGCACTTCATGAGTGTCAGGGAAAGAAAGAGAATTGGAGGGATAGAAACGCTGGTGGGTGAACCAACAAGAAATTTGTACAAAAAAGAGATAGGTCAAACCAGTGTACACCATATAACACGGGGCGTGAATATATTCAGAAGAAAATAGGTTAGAGGAAAGGTCGGAAATTGGCGAAGGGAGAGGAAAGGACACCCACGTGGGGTGGTTGAATCGGAAGGAATGTATGGTCAAGAAGAAAGGGTGGGATGTGGCCAGGGAATTCGAGGGCAATGTTTATTCAATATGAGCTGAAGCACGAATAATAATTCTGCTTCAGCTGGGCAAAGTGAAGCACACTCATGCCGAGTGTAACCTCTCACCACCATGGGGTGACAGTGCACGTGGTTGATATCACCCACTTGGTGTGTCAGTTGCGTCGATCGACCCAAGTGGGGTCCGCATGACAGATTTGCCCCGTTGGTGCGACGGATTGCAAAAATCGATCGACACCATGTGAAGATGCAATTGATGGAATCATGGAATGTTCTTTCGAGCCGCCCTATGAAGCTGCAGTGCTTCACTCGAGGTAAGCGTCCGGTATCGAGCGCGGAAATCAATCGTGACCATCGGATGCCGCTAGGAAATTTAATAGGCTGTCCATAGCGTAGCCATTTTCGGTTATCCCGAGTCTCGAACCGTTGCCGTCCAGTCAAAGTCGACAGGGTCGCCCCGTGTCACGCAAACCGAGTTTGGCGCTTACAGGAATCCCGATTCAGAGAGAAGTCTACGTAGCAAAAAGAGTATTCCGTTAGTCTTCGGATCAATCCAGAGTCATCCATAAACATAGGTCATTTTTGAGGGAAAGTTGGGAAATAAAAAGTGTGGGTATCGCCAAGAAAATAGATTGAGGGCAAATTTTGGGCCCGATAAGAAGGGGGGTAAGGAGGAAAGGGTCGGGAAAACGGCAGAATAAAGAATCATCGTGATGACATGAGCAGGGTTCCAAAGGTCAGAGAACTCATATCTCTCCCACCGGTGGCGTACCTCGCAATTTTTTCGTCCTCTCGTTCTCGCGGCTCCACCTCCAAGCTCCGTTCGTACATGTCGTGCACATCCCCCGCCCCCTGTAAATTACTGAGAATATACTCCTGTAATTCGGTAACAGGGGTGAGGAGGTAGGGCGAGTTCTGGTATTGCTGGATGTCACGAATAACCTCCGCGGTTTTCGTGCGTTTGTTGAAGTTGATCAACTCCGAGGGTGTAAGAGATGGGATACCGTCCTCGATGAACGTCAAGTCCGTGAGGTAGACGCCTACGTTGACAGTGTTAGCCTAAACTATAGCTCATAACCCAAGAAAGGTAAAAGATCCATACCAAAGAAAGGAATGCAAGGTGGGTTAGCGAGATGAAGTGCTTCACGATACTCCCCGAAGTTCTTTGTGCTCGCCATGAGCCTGCGCATCTGTTCCAGAATGGCAGATGTGCGCCCACTGACCTGGGCCCATGTGCGGGATAGTCGGTGGATGGGGGCCGTTCCAAGGGCTGAGATAATAGATGTCAAGGTAGAATAGTTATTAAGGGCCCGGCATTTCTAGTACAGATTAGCAATAGTCTTGGAAGGAGGGGTCTAAGATGTCATACATCTGCAACATTCACGAAATGCTTGATAACAACAACTCGCTTTTTCACATCACCTTGATTGAGAATCATTTCAGCAACCCAATTGGTGAGCTGGTTCGAGTGCAAAATCAACGCCTTAACATTAGCAGCAGGCTCAGGCTCCTCAGGCCCAACTTTCTTCTGCCAGGTCTTATTCAAACATTCTGTGGGTCGAATTTTAGAGTATAGGCGCGATTCGATTATGGTGAGCTGACGAGCGAATTCCGTTGAATCAATGTCCAAAAATTTCAACTTTTTCATGTTCTTAGGGATGATAGGAGTCGGGGCAGGCGTCGCTTGCGTGGGTACCAGTCGCTTAACGGTGGTATCCTGGCCCCGGAGGCGCTGTTCAATGACCGCCAGAAGCTGAGTCGAACCAGGAGTTTTCGTAGTGGCGATCGAGTCCTTGGTGAAGGAATGTGCACGCTCAAGGAGCTGCATGTGCGACTCATCATTGGGCTCCATCCAGTAGTTCTCGAACCAAGTTTTCAGGATATTGACCACACGGAACCGGATGGGCTTCTGCTTTCTGTCAACCCAGATCTGCATCTCGTCGGCGTTCAAGCTGAATGGGGGTTGGACATTGAATCGTTGCATGATCATCTCAAAAAGCTCGGCGGCAGATGTGAAGGATCGGTAGGTAAGAAGGAATGTGCTGTTGAAAGACGGATCGGGCTTATCGTGGCGAGTCAAGTGCTCTACCAACCCAGCCAATGTACCACATTTGAGAGTCGGTATATCATTCTTAGTATCATAAAATACTTCACCCTCGTGGTCCATCTTCAAAAACCATGGGGTCTCTTCAGGTTCGCGGGCGAGGTTTTGAGCAGGTTCTCGTGTGATTGCCGCCGGCGGAGCCTGTCCAAAGAATCTTTGTGCCTTATCCATATTACGGCGCACTTTCTCTCCCTCAAGCGGATGAGCTGATGGCACGCCAATCTCAGTTGACCGCGATTCAGTACGACTATGCAACCCCGTATTCCCCTCGCTGTCACCAATGCGACTTTCCGTGCGCTGGGAGTTTGGCTCGGGGACCTGCTCGAGGAGAAGCGAAAGAGAGAAGCCAATTTGGGAGACATAATTCTCAAGTTGTCTAGCAACACCTCGAACAGCATTCAGTCGATCATCAAGCGAGTCACCACGTAGTTCTGCCCATTCGTCACCAAGGGGGGCCGAAACAGCTTGGCAGCTGAGGACAAAATCCGCTATCGCATCGTAAACTCGTTGCTTTTGCAAACTGAAATCGACTAGCTGAGGGTTCTGAAAGCTAGTTCCCAGAGGTCCCAGGTTGATAGACTCGACGGCAGAAACCCAGGGACGAAACTGTTCAACAACTTTAACAGCAGCGATCGCGATTAACTCGCCAATTTCCTCATGTTCGGCAACAGTAACAATTTTCTTTTGGTTAAGAGTCAGCCGCTCCTCAACCCGGCGAATGGCACCAACAAACGATCGTCGCAGAACATCAATATGGTCCAAAACATTCGGTTCCAGAGGCACGGTTGGCTCGGGTCTCAAATCCGCGCCATCGTGATCCAGGAACGACGTGGGGCCAGAATCGCTTAGTGAAACACCATTGTTCTGCCAGGAGCCACCAGAGGAGCTACCCATCACAAACCCGGGTACAATCCGACGAGTATATTCGCCACGTTGCTGTCTTGCGACTTCAACATAACCATAAACGCCCTGCATGACACCATCGGCTTCCTGAAGACACTTGTTGATAGTATCTACACCGGGCCAATCGGCTGCCGCCATGTGCGACGAGAGAACCAACTTTGAGAATTTAGACATCATGTCTCTGAAATGCTGGTACAGGGGCTTGTTGGTAGATATTATGGAAGGGTTTCCAGAGTGGTTATCAGTGGTGTCAGAGCCGGCCGCCAAGAGCATGCGTAGGTGGTCCGAAATGTCCTCGGCTTTCCTCACATACTCTGCACGATCGCCGCTTAATAATGTTTGGCGATAAACTTCGACAGCCTGCGACATGTTATCCACAAGCAAAGGCCAGGTGATAGGCGTTGAGGTATGGTCGTCAATGAAACGATGAGACACCGCGGATGAAACGGAGGGCCTGTGCATGGGCTCAGAGATCGATGTGTTACTTTCTGCACCTGCAGAGCCATAGAGCTTCTGAGGGTGTCGCCCAAGAGGACTTTTTCCTTCACCGGTAGATTTTGTAGCAGATAAGGGTTGCAAGGAGTCCATAGATGTGGCCGGCGATACACCGTCTATAAATGACTGGCGTCGTCGAGATATCGAATCATGAGAGGCAAGCATGAGAGACTCGCCCTCTGCCTCAGAAGCTGAACCATCATAATCGTCCTCGTCTCGCTCAAAACCACGAGCCATCAACTCCGGCGGAGGCCGAGTCTGGTCAGGGACAAAGAAGTTGGTGCGATCGTATGGGCCGTTCTCGTTGACAGATGGGTTCTCAAATGGGAGCTCCATGGTGCTGTAGCCAGTGAGGGTATTAAAATAGAACAGACGGCCATCGGGGGTTGCTTGAGGGATCCAGAAAGCCGCTTCCTCTTGCTGAGTTGGGGGATCCATGCCCTCAATTGGTAGTATTGGCTGAGAATCGCGAGGATTGCCATGCGAGTCAACCTCATCGTCATGTTCCTCAAATTCTTCGCCAGCGCCCGAGTCCGCGCTGATATCTCCATCGTCTTGAATTTGCGATATGTGATCTTCGAGTTCCCGCAAATCGGTAACCACGGCGCAGTAGTTGCTAGGGAACCAGCCCCGAACGTTGCCGTTGATGACACCGTCCCACCAGCCGGTCTCTAGCTGGTTTAGAACCTGGATGATATCCCCGCGGCGGAAGCTCAGGCTCGTGTGGTCATCGGCGTCATAATCATACATGGCCCGCACAAACAGCGCAGGCGCCGGCTCTGGGCTAGGAGACTTCATGGGTGGAATGTGTCGTTTCGGCGAGTGGTCTGTGACAATGTCTCTCTGCGAAAAGGACAAACTGCCTCCACGACTCCGGCTTCTCGGTGCAGCCATAGTACTAGTCATCGGCTTCTTCTCGGGGTACTCAAAAGCAGTCACGAAAGCCTTTGTCTTGTTCACCGGCGCTGATCCCGGGTCAACAGCCAATGGGTCGAGGAGGTGAGTGCCGTACATCGGTTGGCCGCAGGGACTGGTGTAATAGAGGGAGGATCTGAAAGAAAGTATTGAGGGAAATTAGGGGCGGCTGCGTCCCTTGCGGCGAATGGCTGGACGAGCTCAACGAAGGGTGTTGCTCATGTCGAGGCAGGCAACCGACCGTGGTGGTAGGGCAGGTTAGGAGGGGCGGTAAACGGGGCGTCGAGGGTGGGCTACCAAAGGAGCGGCGGGTGAAACAAGATGGCGAAGGCACGGTCGGGAGGTGGCAAGGACACAGCAGGCGATCACTATCGCCTTGTCAAGGAGAGGATGAGAAGAGTCGAAGAAGACGGGAAGACCGAGAGCGAGCTGAGATGGAAAGGGAGAGTCAGGACTCAGGAGGGTTTTGGGGACGACCGTCCACTGGCAGCAGTGGGAGAGTGGACTGGGGGGGGACGAAGAATGGAACTGCCACTGAGTGGATGAGGAGCAAAGAGGAGCAAAGAGGAGCAATGGACGGGCGTGACAGTACAATACGGGGGAGGCGGTAATCTTACGCCGCGGTCAGCTTCACCAACCAGTCTGGCTGTCTGTCAGTGCCCACCACCAACTCTGTTGTGCTTCTTTAGGCTCTTGCCCGGTTAAGCAACTTCAGTGTTTCTCTTTTGGAGTGCCTCCAGGTAAGTTACTGCGGCTTCCTTCACCTATATTATGTCGGATGCCACTCAGTCTTTGTGCCTTACTCAGTAGCCACCGGCCGGACCTTGCAGAGGGCGCATTTCCGGCCATGCATTGGCCAGGACTTCCGGACTCTCGGCCTCCGATTGAACAGTGCTCTCCCAGCCCCAGCAAGTCCAGCACGAGCCCTACCCACACAGAGTCTCAGATTCAAGATCGAGGAGATCCGTGGTACGGTGGTGCCTCCGGAGAGTATACGTTGATACAATAATACGCATAGTCCATGCTTCCTAGTGCTCCGCGGCAGTTTGTGCGCGACTGAAAATGGCTCACGCGAGGATCCCAGCCGTTGTAAGCCAAGAGCCTCGTCAACGGTCGAGAATTTTCCAACCGGACTTTCGTGACATGATAGTCGTCGACTATTCAAGAATATTTATTAACCGGGTCCGCTTTCATTCGTTGCTACTTGCTAGTCTGAATCCGCGGCATATCATGACACAGGTTCTCCGCACCCTGCAATATAATAGGCAAAGGTTCCTGGGGGGCATTGGTCTGACTCAGCGAGTCTCGACTCCCACTGCCGTCCTCTGGAAGTGTGTGCTTCGAAGCTGTCTTGCTTCAACTTCCTGATCCCATCACTCGATGTGAGAAGATGCCGATCCTGATCCTGATCCGTTGGGCCGTCAACCCCATCCGGTGCCTGGAAAATCACCTCCTCCCCCAGAGTGGCTATAATCCTCGACTCCTGGTTCCTGAGCGATCCTGCCGGGGCCAGCTCCGTATTCTAGATACATGTGTTTTCACTTCTCCCTGTACCTTGTTCTTTGGTACCAGTGGGGATACCCACCGTGGCCCTTGTCTCAAAGGAGAAGCTTGCGCTGCTCTCGGGAGCAATCTCCTAGCGTCTTCATGTTACTCATCCAACGTCAATATCGAGGACAATGCGAGGAAGCTGCCGAACCTCTCTCGATCGTAGGCCAAAGATAAACGTAGACTGCTCACATGCAGAAGACTGGCAGACGGCGGGGGGGGACGGAGGGATCCGTGAGGACAAAGCCTCCATCCATCCATCGCCGCGGAACCTGTGCAGTGGCAGTGTCAGATTGTGCGTCCGAGGGTCTGATACCCACACTCGGGCCTTCTCAATGCTTCCTCTCTATCAAGCAACACCAATAATATCAGCATGGTTTATCAAAAAGAACAGGGGGGGGGATCACGCCAGGCCTTGAGACTGAGAGCACTGGCTTATTCCTCCAGACCATGCCACTGCAGCATTTTCCCCGGCATAGTCTCGGCATGGATGCTCAACCACTTCTCTGGAGTGCCACCCTTGTCTCGTCGATACTCTCGTTCAATTAGCTACCATTTTATAGGGCTCCGAGGTACCGGGCCAGAATTTCGCGCCCATCCTAGCCAATAGCGTTTAAGGAATAATTGATGCCGATGAGCGCATCAAATTCGCATCCACCAACCAACAACGTCTTCACGAGAACCCATATGACTGTATCTCCCATTGGTCCTCCGTGAAACCGATTAAAATTCCAGAATTCACCCGGGCGTCATCCTCAGGCGTCCACGGTCCGCATTTCATGGTTCCTCGGCAAAGTGGACGCTCAGACTCTTCAACTTCCGAGATGCCACCAACCTTATTTTGCGTCGACATTTGGAATCCATGCTCTGTGGACGAACATGGCTCCTTGTCGGCTTCGTCGAAATTGGCACCTCGGGTATTATAATTTCCGTTTCTCTGTCAGCTGTCACATTTCAATGCGCCATGCTAATCGTGTTGAAGCATTGCCTTGAAAGTAGCGAAGGCGGATGGGCCGCAGCTTGATATAACTATCAATTGCATATGGTCAAGCATCACGCGAGATAGTAAATTTTTTAACCATATGATGATTAACGCAGCTTCCATGACGACTAACTTCAGCTATACAGTTCTACGCATCGACATCTACAAATAGCCAAGCCTATGTTCGTCCCAACATCAAACAATCACTTCAAACCATGAAACTTCTCCGCCATTCAGCAAATCAGCTGTCTTTCGAATGGTGCAGGCTGTGGGTATCAATCGTTCTCGTTGCAAAAGTACGTTCACTAACCCATCAACCTCAAGACCATCCAATCACTTCGACAAACTTCCACGATGGATCCTATTGACCAGTTTATTTCAAGGAATGGACAATATGAGCGAAGGGAACACTCCCGATCTTTATAATCTGGCCAGATAACACTGCAAGTTACCGTACTCACCTTGCTTACAATACGATTCATCGGGTTTCACCCAAACCCTTCGAACACCATGGACTCACTACAATGCAACTTCCAATGTAAACTCCCACGTCAAACCTTCGTCAAAAGGTTTCCAATTAGTCGGTAACATGCGCGAATCCAGGCACTCGTCGCTGCTTCGGTGGCAACGTACGGAGTAGATTATCCCGGGGACTTGAGCTATCATCCGAATACGGCTCTCAAGTCTGAACTTCAATCAAATATACTGTACGTCTACGGCTCGCGTCTTCCTCCTCGAAGACCTCCAAACCCCATTCAAGACATTTGTTAGCCAGGTTTTGCCCCTAATAACCTAACCTCATACTGTAATCATTCAGCAAAATTGAGCCAGGTTTACACTATACTAATAATTTTCGCACTGCCGGACTCACAACACACTCATATACAGTATACCGCCTGCGTACCGTGTTTTTCACACCTTTCCCTCGCTTCGTTAACTATCTGGAGATCAACCAGTCATTGCTGTAACAACCAACTACCCCATCGCTAACTTCATTCAAGTGCCAGTATAGTCCGGGGTACTATTACTTGGCCCAAGCAAGGCAGACTGTTCGAGGAAAGTGGGTTTGGGCTCCATGCGTCGCTCCGCCTCGAAATTATGGGTAGTTGCCCACCATGCGCGGCCCGTGGAATGATGGAATCCATCCAACCGAACAATTGGGACTTCTTGGGATGTCTGCGGACTTGGCGATAGGACGGTACCACGGCAATCCTTGGGCCCTCCTTGCAAAGGTCCCAAGATTCGAATATACAAAGGGGTAGGCTATACTGGCCTGATACACACGAGCGGACCTTGCCCACGCCTATGCGCCTGCTAGGGTAGAGCCCTGGTGCTAGGGAGTCCCTATGAGGAATAACATACTGCATTATATATTAGATATAATATGTTCAGCCACCTGCATCATTCATTACGTCGCATGTTCATTGCCTATGCACGCTTCTATATACTCACAGATCCCGGCTCCCTGGAGCTAATACCTGTTCACAGCCCAAATTATGCCAGAAAGCAACTGAATATCAGACCGTGCTTCAGCCTGCGTACCACATCAAGGCAGTGTCACCAACTAACATCCTGATACCAGCAAGGGCGATTCATTGACCAGCAGTGCAAAGTCCACTCCGCATGGATGGCGACCTAGATGAACAAACTCCGATATAATCAAGTATTCAAGATTGCGTACTTTGTATTTCATCTTTAGCCCTTTCTCGATGTTGTATTTTGTTTTCTATAACTTCCGTTTCTAGTTTCCATCTCTGTTTACTACAAGAATATCGAGGTCTATGTGTCCACCAGTTAACTTACTCCGAAAACGAACTATCTAAATATATATATATATATGTTAAATGATGTAGCTCTATGCTACCTATTCGAAACAGTACTAGTGGTGAGTTACCGGTTACTGATGGTGATGATGCTAAGGCTTGGTAGTATATATATATTAGGGGTAGGAGTATATATAATATGGATTCGATAGGCTACCAGATCAAAATAAACACAAACAGATAGTACTTGCTCATCGCTGAGGAGAGAGTTTGTATAATTAATTCTAGAATTTATTATTAAAAGGAACCATATACAATAGCGATCGTTATTGTATCGCTACTGTATCGATAGTACTAAGATCCGAGAGACGAGATGGGACACCGTTATCAGATGACTGGCCATCAAAATGTGGTATCCATCAAGAAAAACCGCTATCTCGTCGGAATCGTTGCCCAAGCAAGAAGAGAAGCGCATTTGCCAAAGAGAGTAGTGAAATCCTGACGTCTGGTGACAGTGATATCATGCAGATGATCGCAAGACGGGATCGGCTGATCTGCCCTGCGCAATCAGGGGGAATCAGGCACAAAACGGGCAGATTACACGCAATACAGACATAACGACTTGATTTTGGGACCTGCATTCGACTTACTGAGTTTCTGACCTCCGAAGCCATCACCCGGTGACGTGACTTCATTACTATCCACATCCTGTCAAGGACTCAAGGTGGTGGTGGAGCGCCCCTCCCCCTTTTTTCAGTTCCCACACAGCCCGTTGCCCGATTCCTGGAACGAGGATTGACCTCACTGGTGGTTGAAGACTGACTCTCACCTCGCGAGTCCGCGATCGAGTTAAAGTTCACAACGGCCCCCCTTTCCCAGCTTCCGCACGCATAGCCGTTGGTTAAGGGTAAACGCCGGCTGTTACAGAGGCCTGATTCGGTGGTTCCACGTCTTCGAGAATCCTTCTGGCGGACTCCAACCACGCCGAATTAACGGGGCTGTGGGCTCTCAAGTTTCTCGCTGCTTGGGCCTTTCCTAGTGAACCACTGAGCCGGGTTGCGAAATTGTTTTCCATGGTGGTTTACTGGCTTTCGAGTTTCGACCATTTAGCCCCTTTATTTACGTGGACGCGCTATTATTCAGGACCCCAGGCTGGGGGTGGGAGGGTAATACTTCGGAAATAGGTGCCTGTCCGACCTCCAAAAGAAAAGGACCGACGGCCCACGGACTTTGCTCCTCAGAACCTGAATCAGACAGGGAGACTCAACATGCGGGCTCGAGTTTGTCGCTCATTATTGGATATGGTTTTACCAATATAATTGCCACTGGTTTTGGTGATCCTTGATGCATGAAGCAAGCCGCCCTGTCCATCATGTCCATAAAAATCCATTGCCTGCGGGAGCGAACCACGGAACAATCTCAGCCTCGATTTGTGCCATGTGCGGCAGCGGGTAATTTCCATGGTTCGAACGAATGACCCAGATCCAGGAATAGAGGTCGCATGTGTTGTAAACCTTGTAAGTGCAACTTGTATAGGAATGAAGCAGGTATTATTCTGAGCCCCCACGACGCGCCGCGACTCTGCATGGGCCTGAGGCAGCCTAGTAATTCCTCCAGGCATCAAGCGAGGCCCACGCACAAAGCCGAAAATCCGGAATCATGGGAAAAGCAAAGTAATTCGGCTTTTGGCCCTTTGAGCCAGTTCCAGGCCCAGCCCTAAATATGGACCGTCTGCAATCGTAATTCTTGGACAATGGTCAGGATAACCGATAATCCCACCCATTCAAGACTCACCAACTTACGAGTTACTATTCTTGGCACCGAGTACGTAGTTATAGAATCGAAGATCTGATATCACACCCATGGCATAGGAGTGACAATCAATAGAGCGAATGGCCAAGTCTTTCGAGGAATTGTTGGTTAGAGCTCAAAATGCTCAACAGGGTCGGGGGAGACCGCCGTTTCTTTGGGGAAGAGGTTGCGAAACGACCTCGCTTGTCGCGGGAGAATCCGGATCAAGACATCAATCCGAGGAACAGTTCGAGACTGAGGTCGGGCTTCCTTTGTTTCCCCTTCAGCCAGTGTTGACCAAATATCGGTGACAGTTAGACAGCTCGGTCTGGATCAAAAGCGTCCTCCACTTTCTGCTTGGACAGGAGCGGTCAGGGAATCGGCTCCAAGTCAAAGGCGGTTTGATTCCTTTGTACGCTCCCAAAGTACCCGATCGCTGGTAACAGGGCCTCACCGACACGAGAACCTTTGCAACTTTGCAAGACCTCTTGCCAACTTCGAGAAATTCCAGATCGTCTCCACTCTGGTATGGAGCAATTTGACGACGCGACGGTGGGGGCGCGTCGTCGTCTCCGGGTTCCTTACCGTCTCTGTGGAAATAACTGCAGATGGCTTCATCTCGCCCACAATCTGGAAAGGGGAGCCAAGACGGTCTGCTTGGAATTGGAGACCGCCGATGGACACTAGTTCTGAGCTGGCTTCGGGGAACTTGTTCCTGAAATCCTGCAACGGTATGTGGTGGAGAAGAAGCTCTGAAACAAAAGAGACGGAATGAAAACGACGAATTATGCTTTTGATCCAGACCACCGGAATCCAAAGAACTTCGGAATGATCGACTTTGGCGAAGATCAATGAAACTGGTCAAAGGCAAGGATTCAAGGAGCCTTGGAGGAGGCCAGATCAATGCAGAAGACAACCTCGAGTTTGGGGAAATGAGGGTTGCTCGCGGGTCTCATCCCTGTCTGAACTCTTTTGACGTTTTGTTGAACGCTTTGCAGGTCAGTTATCGTCAAACAACCGTGGCAGCCCATCAAGTCGCAGAGGCGGTCGCTGGAGTACGATCGCGGAGGAACTGGAAATGATCGATCCTGCCACCAGTCGACGGGCGACGTACCTTTGTCACCGTGTCGCTCATCGCAAGGACGGAGGTTTTCGAACTATTATTGTCCGCGTCTTTCCGCGTGCGCCGATCTATCGGACTTATACATGGTCGGCATAACCATTATTTCAATAGTGATGGCTCCCATCATAATTCGACTCAATAACTCATCACTTCCTCGCAATCCGGCTTCAGCAAAGCCTCACAATAGCTCGGCGAGACTGATACTTAACATCGCAATTTCTTCACTTGGCTGAACTCCTCAAGCTACGATATTGAAAAGAGGTGGCTGGGCCGGACCGCTGCATGGTCGGGAAGTGGATCGACGAACAAGATCCCAATCAGGGTTAAATCTTGGAACCAAAATCAGAGAGGCTGGACTTGGACGTGAGACTCCCAAATCCTTAGCCCCTTTTCACCGCTCTGGTTTCCCTTTGGTATTGCTCCAGGCAGATCAGAGCGGTCAAGATGATGTAAATGTAACCGGGGGGAAGTTCGGGTCCTGCAGCCATTGCATCCACTCTTCAGATGGATGCAGGGTAGAAACCTTGGAAGCCAATGAGGTCAAGAAGCCCAGGAACGTATCCAGGATAAGCCAGCACGATTTACTTTGTATACGAGATGCGAACACGGTTACTTGAGAAAATCTTGTAGAAGGATAAATCCAGCTTGGGGCATGTGGGCTCCTGTAAGGGCTGCAAAGTCAATGTTAAGACCTCTGGATGTTGGAACTGCAATTGCAGTCTTCGAAGAGCCACTTTCATGATAGGCGTTTCCGGAGTAACCCCTCGCTCGGTTGCTAATCGGGCGGGTGGGTTCGATGCCATATTGAATGTGGATTTTAAACCCCACCTATTATGGATAAGGAATAAGAGCCACACAGGTCTTTCGTCAACTCTCGCCAGTCTCGCGCTAATGAAACAGAGCCTTGAGAACGGCGAAGACACGCGATTATTGATGAGATAGGTGCTGCATGCAGTTCTGCTTGGCGGAGGAGCACGGCAGGGTCAGTGACAGACTGTGAGCAAGTGGAATGTGCGACATCCAAATCTTTGAATCATCATCTGACCTCATCTGGACGCTACGTGCTTCGTGGCCGTCGTTCGTTTCTAGAGGGTGGGGGCCTGAGATGGACCCGGAAGAAGAGCGCGTCTCCGAGCTGAGGCTGGGGCGGACGAAGACGCGACGGTTGGCAGGGCCAGGCAGCCACCTGGCAGTGGACAGAGCCACACTTGTCCCGAAGCCGTCGGTGCACTAACTGTGTCTGTCATGGCGACTTCGGTGTTCACCAGAAGCAAGAGAAGAAGAGGCTTTGGAAGCACAGCCCGCGGTGGCTCGAGTTTCAATACGGCACACGTATACCAAAAAGATTTTCGACCCGCGGTATGCAAGATATTTTTATGTACCCAATCAACACCAGACGGCATCCCCCGTCAAGCGCATTGCAAGGGTGGCGTCACAATAATAGTCTCAAGGACGCACAATCTGCAGATACGGTCGAGTACGGTGCACTCAGGTACTGTATGGTTTATTCGGCTGACCGAGAATTGGGTGTCTACGCTTTCAAAAATTCATCCATCGCGATGTGCCTTGGGCTCAGGAAAGGCGGGAGCTCGTGAGAGCGAAATTTGAGGGATCATATCGTCGGTACTTTTGTTGTTGGAGCCCCTTAATTCTTCACGATTCCTGTTTCAACAAAGAAAGTTCAAAGTTAAACGGTGCACTTGTTTTGGGGGTGAACGGAGGTGCCAGACTGCCAGTCAGTGTTTGGAACGACAGTTGAGGTTAGGAAAGGTGACGGAGACTAAGAGCTGGTTCGGCCCACTGTCTCGGTTCGATGTGGTCATCAGTGCAGCCTTGGATACGGGTGGTATCCGTACTGGGGCGACAACAAAGTACAAACTAGTCGACGCAGAGTAACTGCCGGGACAGGAGGGGTTGTTTGTGACCTGAGGGGCCCATGGAACCTGCTGAGGGGGTTTGGAGGGGTTACCCAGAACTTCTGGTCAATCCGCCAGACCCGTAAAGTGGGAGGTTGGAGGGGAACGCTGAAGGAGGGGCGCCTCTGCAACTCTGCGCCCTGGCCCCCCTTTCTTGTCGTCGATGAGGAAAGGGGTTGAGAAATGAAGATCGATAGTAGGACGGAGTAATCAGAACACAAAAAATGCAGGGTGATTGATGAAAAGGAGATGCGATGAATAATAATTGGCGATGTGAGGAAGAATCCGAGGTGGAAATGAAAGGAGGATTACACGAATCATGTTGGATGGTCATCTCCGTGTGGCATTTGAGACAAGCCGCCATCCTTGTTCGTGCTTGGAGGGGCAAAGGGGGGCCTGAGTTTGACAGAGGAGATTGGGAAAGGGTTCGAGGGGCTGTGAAGCCTGTGATGTTGTTTATCTGTTTTCTTCAAAACATTTAGATACAATCATGCTCTGCTGGAGGGAAGAACTTGTTGATCACGCTGTCATTGTTGCGGATTCATTTTCGGCTTCTTGTGTGGGCGGCCCCGCAGCCGCCTCTACCAGGTTTTCGCGTCGCTGTGTCGTCAGATGCGGACACTCGACGCCGTTTCGTCAGTGGACGAGATGCTTGCTTAGGATAAGTCGACTATTATTAATATATAGATTGAAGTCAACAATGAAAGGGTGGTGTGATCCAGTTTCCAGTCTCGACAGGGATATATAAGATTTCCGATGGAGACGCGAATATGCTTTGGAGAGTGGGTTCTTTATTTCCATCAGACCCCAACAGGTAATAGCCCTAGCTTGAAGCCAACAGAAACAGCCGTACTTATGCCAAAAGAGGAAGAAAGAAAGAAGGAAAGGTAAATGAGATTCCACCGAGATTGCCAAAATGTTGATTGTGTTGACGGTCTCGACCTGGAGGTGTCGGTGATCCAATAGAATCGTCGCATGTTTTCACATTTCTTGAAGAGATTGTCAAGGGGCAAGGATGTTGCTTCAAAAGGTAGACTACTAGATCATGTTTGTTTTTGCTCTTGTCCGATCTTGATGCAAGTGGGCAATCTTGATAACTCACAAAAAGACGTGGAACTGGAGGGATGCGCTCTCATATGTGAGGTCGCGAAGGGGCCCCAAATGGAAAAAATCCAGCCTACCACATGCTCTAGCCAGGGCGACGCGAGCGCAAGAATTGATATGTTCTTTTCGGCTGACCCGGGCTGATGGTTTGGAAGAACAGACGGAGCGCCCATGTGGGCTGGAGTGGGCTGGCGGTGCTTTGTTTTGCTGTCGGTCGGTATTTTATTGGAATTACATTCGTAATTTGAGACGGGGACCGGACAGCTGAGGACACGCGCCCTAGCTCGTTCCTGCCTAGCGCCGTCATGCTGTTAGTCAGAAATGACGGGGGCGGCGCCCATTGGCGGAGTGCGTGTAGCGGGGACGGTGCGTGGTCACAGGGCCCCCTCCGTGCTTCCCGGCAACAGCCCCTCTTTCACCAAGACTGGCCACGGCCGCCTCACTGTCGCGACCCAGCGATCGCCCCAAATCGCCCATCGACTTTCTGCCCACGACCTGCCGCGCCTGCTCGCACCGCACTCACTCCCCCCTCGCTCGCTCCCTTTCTTTTTGACCAGCCCGGCCTCCCACTTCTCGCGGTCCAACTTTCTCCTCATCCATTCAATATCCCCTCTTCTCCCTCCTCCTCTCCTCTCCTCTTCTTTCCCCTCCTCTTTATCCCCCTCTATTCAACACCTCTCTCTATTCTCCTTCTCTCTTTCAACAGTCCTTCTGAGTTGTTTGTCCTTCCCGCCTTTTGGCCACAAACCTTGTTTTGCTCCCCTCGTCCGCCTGTGGCTGGACCCTACCCTAGAATAATCTCACCTCGAACTGTCTCCGCGTCCAAGGAATGATCAGACATCAACTCGAATACTTGTCGTCAGCCCGCCTTCAGAACCGGTGTGAAGCCACAATCGGGACGATACCACGCTTGTCCGCGACGTCGATACTGTGCTAAGGAATCCGGTGGCCCGACTGTTGCTACACCCATCTCAGAGCAATGGCCCCAAGCGCATCAAATACGGCGAATAACTCGCCTGCCAAGAAGACGTCTGCCCCCGAGAAGAAGTACAAGTGCCAATTTTGCAACCGCGCCTTTAGTAGGAGTGAGCACCGCAGCCGACACGAGCGATCGCGTGAGTCCGCCGCCTCTTTTCNCTCGGTCCCGCCTTTAGAAGGTGACTCGAGAGGCCATAAGAGTTTACTCCTGTTTTCGCCACTACCCTTATCCTTGGCTTAAAACAGAACAGCTGCTAACTATTTGTGACCTACAGATACGAAAGAACGCCCTTTCAAGTGTTTGAAGTGCAGGAGCACCTTTGTTCGCAGAGATCTCCTTCTTCGACATGACCGAACTGTCCATGCCAAAGATGGCGGTGTTCCTCTAGTTTCAGAGGGGCGTCGCCGAGGTGGTGGTGGCATTCGCAAGGCTTCCTCTCCAGCCCCCTCTAAGCCCTCGGTCACAATTGATCCTACTACTCTGGAGCAAATTGAGGCAAGCAGCGATGGTATGGTCGACCTTGAAACAGCAGCCATGTTGATGACAGATTTCCAACATAAGGCTGCAGCAGCTGCTACTGGTCAAATCCATGATCGCGCCGAGTCGGATCGGTCCTTTTCCCCCGGGCGTGGCTCTCTCCTTGAGCCCCCTGTTTCATATCTATCCGGTAACGCGACTCTGCCTCAAATGCCCTGGGACTCACTGGTCTCACCCACTGAGACCAAGCACCACATGGCTTCCCCCTTTGCATCCCAAGATGCGGCTTCGGACTCCCATGGACTGCCTGTCATGGACCGACATGCTGGCGACTCCATGGCCCCATCGTTGCACTCTCTGGTCAACTCGCTTCCAGTCTCTGGGAACTCTACGCCGAATGCGCTATCACCGTACCCTTCCATGACCGGCCCTGTTAGCCCCGTCAACTATCGCAGATCTCCGGGGCCTAGCCAGGCTTTGACTTTGCCCAAGTCACCTCAGGTTGCTAACGACCTCGAGCGAACCCAGATCGTGGAGCGCATTCGTTTTGCGGACTCGCTCGGTGTGCTTCCGGAAACGTTTGTACTCCCGGAAACACCGGCTTTGAACAAGTATCTCTCGACCTACTTCAACCTATACCATCACCATCTTCCCTTCCTGCATCAGGAATCTTTCAAGCCAACTACTGCCTCGACGCCGCTATTGCTTGCAGTTCTTTCAATTGGTGCTCTCTACACCTTTGAAAGACAACACGCATTTATGCTCCACGTTGGCTCCAAGATGCTGGTGAACCAGTTTCTTCAGCACAAGGACAACTTCGACTCGAGAAAATGCCCTCTGTGGGCCATGCAAAGCACATTGCTGAACATGATCTTTGAGAGTTGGAGTGGTGATGCTAAGGGTCTTGAATGGACTTGCTCAATCAAGAGTCTCCTGGCCAACATGGTCGCGGGTAACCGTTATCAACTGAAGCTTCGCACGGAAGCCCGTGAAGGACGTCGTCCAACCAGAGAGGAGTGGATCGAGGATGAGTCTTGCCGCCGGACTTACTATGCCGTATATATCTTCTTTGGCATGCTCACACTGACCTTCAACCACACTCCTGCAATGAGCTTTGATGAGTTTGATAATTTGGAGCTGCCCTCATCTGAATCAATGTGGAATCTCGACGTCTCTGACGATGAGGCGTGGCGCCGAAGCTTGTCTTCTGCCACGTCGATGACCGTTCGCGACGCTCATGATTGCCTCTTCCAGGGCGAGCAGACACGATACAGTGCATTTGCTACCCGCGTCTTGATCAACGCTCTGTTTTTGCAGGTCTGGAATCACAAGAGAAGCTTTGAAGCTCTCCAGGACGTGGTCACTGAGTATAAGCTCCGCCTCGCTTTGGAAACTTGGGAAAACTCCCTTGAGGTCTGCGAACCCGAAACGATTGTTGTTCCTCTCAGCACTCCGCAAAACGGCCACCCCCTTATTTTTAACTCGATGGCTGTTTACCGTAACACTCGTGCACGCCTTGAGGTTGACCTGAAATCCATTCAGGAAGCCATGCGGTATCACTCTTCCTATGAAGTTGCGGCTGCAATGACCGTCGCTCGTGAGAAGGTCAAGCGATCACAGGAGATGAACAAGGTTATCCAGTCATGCTTCGAATGCATTGAGATCGCCGCAATTCGAGGAATCAACTGGGTTGCCAAGACCTCTGCTACCAACTGGAGTGTTGAACACCCGCTTTGCGGTTTGGATTTGATGGTGATTCTCAGCCTTTGGCTTTATCGCCTGGAACATGACGAGGAGCCTGCCTCTGAGGCAGAGATGGCCATTTACAACAAGGTCCGGAATTTGTTTGACGACGATGCCGTCGACTCATGTGGTAAACTAAGCTCCACCGTTGCCCGTGTATGGGGTAATATCCTAGACGGTGTGGTGGTTTGGGGGTAAGTTAATCCGTACTCTGCTTTGGCAGTATCTATGTTCAGAAACTAATATCGTTGCAGAATTACCAAACTCATGGGCGAGTCATTCAAGCTTCACTCCCAGGCCTTGGTTGGTTACGAGGACTCTCTACGAGTTGCAAAGGACCAACCTATCCATGCTGTGCCTACCAAATCACTCGCAAGCGTTGGCACTGCATACTAGCTCGACAGCATATACTCGATTTAATCCGTCACTCGTTTACAACCCCTCGGGTACTGCAGATAATTGCAGTTCAACCCGTGTTTGATTTCCTTCTGTTCTCTCATTATTCTTTTTGCCATTGTTCTTGTTTTTTGGGTTTGCAATCTCGGAATATTAGGTCGGGAATCGGATGCAAGAAGGTAGGCGGCGCATTGTGTTTCCCACTTTCTGGGATGCTATGACCTGGACCGCCGCATAATGCTTCTTGCTGGTGTTTCCCGACTTTTTTTTCATGTTTCTGCATTTTGCTGTTATGATTTCTCGTTCTTTTTTTTTTTCCCGCAAGAGCCCACAGGAGTCAGGTGTGATTTTTTTTCTCTTGCTTTTATGGGCTGTTCCTCCTGGCAACATCTCAACACCCGGCTGGTCCTGTGTGTTCTTCTCTCGCACATATGGAGTTTTCGATTTCTTTTATACCTTCTACAGACTAATTCAGAGGGTCTACCATACTCTCTTGTGCGCACCGGCTTTTTTTGATCAGATTGCCAGTTGAGCTTCTCTAACTACATTGATACCTTTTTGACTTTCAGTGTTATATATTTTTGATATCTTTTGTTCCATTTCGCTTCACTCATTTGCCTATTTTTGAATATTTTTTTTTATTCCTTTGATTTGGATCCTTTTGTTTAATGTCTGTTAGAATCGTTCTGATTGTTATGTGTCTACGCCATATCCCCGCCTGTTAATGTTTGATGTTGATATCTCTATTGGTCTTGGTTTTTTGATTTTGTCTCTCCTCTCAAGCAGTTTGTTTACTTCCAAGTTTTGCACTGCATAGTTTTGCATGTTTTGTTCTGTTGAAAGATCTTCATTGTCTGCTTTCTTATGCTGAATTTTTGCCTTTGCCGATTATCTGCACATGCTCTGCGTTGTAGTACCCTGTACTATAAGTAATTTGAACTCAAAATACAAATTGGTTTGGCGGGGAAGCTTGCTCTTTAACTCTTCGTAACTATCATATCTATCATGGGCGAGAACAGCGTCTACAGTGGACCTCATTATAGTGAGTCAGTAGAGTAATCAGATAAAAGCTCACTCACACACAGGGCTAACAAACCCTATAGTCCACCTCAAGGACCCCGTAATGACAACAAAAAACCCCAATGCAACACCCACACTCATCACCCCGTATATATACGCGTGTAGCCTGCGCGCCAGCCCATTCAACTCGGCTACCCACGTACTCACCGTCGTTGCCGAGCCGCAGAACCCATCCATCACGCCCTGCAAGATCTGGCAGCTCACTAGCACAGTCGCTCCAACGCCATCGACGCGCTGGAGGTCATAGCACATAGACATGATTACAGTCCCGAGGACATTAACTGTAAATGTACCGAGGGGGAAATGCGGGATGCGCGCATTGAGTAGTAGAGAGAGATAGAAGCGGAGGAGGCAGCCGAGGGGGGCGAAGACGATGGCGAATACTGCGCGGCCGCGCCACGCGTTATGGCCTTCTGGGGGGAAGATGGCGAGGAAGATTGTTCCGACCCAGCAGCCCCAGCCGAGGAAGGCGAAGAGGGGATCGATGAAGCGGCGGGTTAGGCGGAAGGGAATTGTTAGGGGAAGGTGGAAGTGCTCGAGAGCAAGGGCGAGATGGGAGCCGAATATGAGCGCCGCAAGGCTAAGGGCAACTTCGACGAGGATGACAGCCACAAGGGCCATGAAGCTGTAGCCGCCATTGGGAGCGGAGGCTGGGGACGATGGGTCGGGAAGGTCGTTCGAGAGGGCAAGGAAGATATCGCGGATAAAGGAGGAGAAGGAGGTGAAGGAGCCGCAGAAGCCGGTTGTGAGGCCAATGTAGAGCGGGATTGTCTTTTTGATGGATTTATGGCGCTTGATCCGTTCGTCTCTGGAGGGGTTGTCGTTGGCATTGCCTTTCCCAGGATTGCCCCATTCTTCACGAAAGATGTTTTTGTCTTCGAGAAAAAAGCCCATCAGGAGCGAACCCCCGACATTGGCCCATAGGACGCCTGTCACCACGGGAGCACCGGGGTAGAATGTAAGGGCCTGGAGGCCGAGGCGCGCGAGGGTGCCGAAGATGGAGAAGAAGACGAGGTAGGACAGGGTGTACAAATGCGTTGCCGATGAGGACAGGGGTTCACGTCGCTCTGGATATGCCTCGACTGGATCTTCCGGGGGCTTGTCTGTGGCCGATGGAAGCTGAGGCGAAGATTGCCGTTGCGGAGCCGATTCTGCAGTGGGAGGCGGCGCTTGAATCTCGGGCAGGCGGTTTTCCACAGTGCCGCCCGCGACAACGTGGTTGGAAGTCATTGGGAACGGCTTTATGGCCGTTCAGGCGCATCGCGTGGTGTTGATAACTTGTTCAGTAGATCGTGGGGGGAAGAAATGCTTCGCCCGTTAGGCTCATGACTAAGTCCTTCGAGTGGGTCAGGATAAATGGAGCCATCGTTGTGCTGTGGAATCGCTGCTTATCAGGGCGACAACAGGGAGATAAGTCGAATAAGAGGGTTGAGGCCGGGGGAGTGCGATAACAAACAAATGCAGGACAAGACACCAGAAGAGGAGAGCAGGTGACTGCGTTTTCCTGCATTATTTACCCCTCGTCATCTGCTTCTCCATCCCATTTCATCACCGCCAGTCCTCCTTGGAATCATCTTGTTTGGTCTTGTCACATTCACCATGGCGGCCCCTGCTAATGTACATGTCTCATCTCACCCTCTCCTTCAAGCCAAGCTCTCTCAGATCCGTTCGGCTTCAACTACGACCAGAGAGACTCGCAATCTGGTTCATGAGATTTCGACGATCCTAGGGGTCGAGGCCTTCGCCTCTGGCTGGAAAGCCACAGGCACAGGAAAGACTGTAAGTGTCCATTCCAGTAACTCCATGAAATCGACGATAACACCTCGGCTCTAGGATTCCACCCCATTGGGCCTCCAATATGAGACGAAGGGCATCGACCCCGCAAACATCGCATTGGTACCCATTCTCCGTTCAGGCCTGGGCATGATCGATGGTAAGCACCTAGCTCTCTATAGCCGTTCTTCTCATTTCAAGAGGGCGATTGCTAACATCTTGATCAATTCATAGCTATCAACGACCTCCTTCCCTCTCCAGTCCCAATCTATCACCTTGGCCTGTTCCGCGAACGCTTCTCCCTCCAACCCGTCGAATACTACAATAACCTCCCATACCAGCGGCCCGAGCAATCTTCGGGCCCCAACAGTGTCAACATCGCGGCCGCTTCTGTCGCTGTCCTTCTCGACCCGATAATCGCGACCGGTGGCACAGCCGAGGCGGCCATCCAGCTTCTCCGCGAATGGGGCGTGCAGCGCGTAGTCATGCTCAGCGTGCTGGGGTCGGAAGATGGAGTGAAGCGCGCGGCGACCTGTTGGCCTGAGGGCGTGGAGGTGTGGATTGGCGCCGTGGATGAGAGGTGCAATGATAGGGGGATGATTGTACCGGGGCTGGGGGACATTGGAGATCGGTTGTTTGTTGCGATTGGGAAGTAACATACCTATTGTCGCATCCCGTCAGAGAATACATTATTACTTGCTGGATGATTGGCGGAGTATTTATACAAGCAATGAAATAGATCGGACGAAAGCAAACAAGCCCCACTGATACTATAACGACAAGCATAAACCAAATTTAATAACTCCAGTATACTAATGCCCACCTGTCCAGCCTTATCACATCGCCATCGGTATGGAATTCGAAGTCGCCCTTGTCCTCCCACCAGATCCGCCATTCATCATCCTCTCCCCCGTTCTAGCCCTAGCCTCGTCCCCATCGCCCTCCTCCTGACGAGTCCGACTCTGGCTCCGAGATCCATGTACAGGAAGCTCCGCCCTCCCCATGAAGACCTCCTGGTCCAGCATCTTCTCGTGGATCCCGCCGCGACCATGATGCACCCCGCGCGCAACGAGTTTCTCACGTCGCAGACGATCGCGCTCTTCTTCGCGGCGTTCGATGGCTGTCATTGAAGAGATGAATATGTTAGCCAGCTGGTTTTTATTTCCCAAGGTTATTTTCGAAGCATTAGTCGGGAGGTGGGTAATGGTAAAGGAGAGAAGCATACCCCGCCAAACAACAGCGTAAACGGACATGATCACCAGCGAGGCGATGAGGAATCCAAAGAGAATGCCGAGTTCGCGGCCGATAGGGACCTCCGAGGATAGGATCTCGGGGGGGATATGGTCGCCTCTGGAGGTGGGGGGTGGGGTTGACATTTTACTACTTCGTTTTTTTTTGTTCTTTTCTCTTGTCGCGTGGTGAGTTGTATACCTAGGGTCTCGGTGGAAGAGTGGATTGATGCTGTTGGGTCTGGTCTATATGTAGGTTGTAAATAAAAGCACGAGGCGGAATGCTATTCGGCCCCAAATGAACAGCAAAAAGTATAAGGGATCAAGGGGCCTGCGAAGGACTCATGGAGAGTCTGCACATCTCAGAAGAAAGCTGGGGAAGGAATCAGACTGAACATGAAGGAATGGAAGTGGCCCCAACTCCAACTCCAGTCAGCAAGCCAAGGCCAACCTCCCTTGGGCTTCTTTATTCCTCGTCACAGCTAGTCAGGAGACTAAGGAACATCCAAGCCCAAGGCGCACTCAGGCTGCCCTCTGCCACTGTCATCCAGGTGGACTGGCCGAGGCTGTGCGACAGCCAGCCTCTCGCTCCGACTGGACACTCGGTCTTTGTTAGTTTACTGCCCTCTAATTCGAGGCGCTCATATTTAAAGGCAAAGCAACCAAACTTGAAGATCAAGGATGCCGTTGAGCCTGAGGAGGATCTACACCATCACGTGTTCTGCCATCGCCTTGTCAAGCCGTTTTGTTTTGACTTCAAAACCCGCAAGACCGAGACTCTGGTAAGTCAACTCGTTAGCTGACCCCTTAGACTAATTCAACGAGGTCGTAGTTAGGGCCTGGACGCTCTGCTTGCTCGTGGAGATCCCCCAGCGCACCCCAGTTATGGCCGTTCCGCAGAATCGAGATGTCCCGCGGGGACTGATGTTTCCAGGACCATTGCTCAGTCCAGCCTGTACCATTAGGCTATGGTGTTCAATCGTGGTTATGAATCCGGTAAACAGGAACTGCATCAACTATGCCCCGAGCATAGCTTTCGCATTCAGCCTCGGTGCCATTAGTAGGAGTAATATCTCGCAACATAGATTGCCCCACGTGTATGACTTGGCTGCAACAACTGCAGTGCAGTAGAACCTAAAACAATCAGGGTTAAGGACTGAGTCCTAAGTGCGGGGAGACTGGGTCCGAAGTTATTACTTGTATGTGGCTCAGCCCTTACGTGGCTGCCTAGACGACTCTGAAGACTGATGAGGGTGGGAGCATTTCAGATAGGTGATTACGGCATACTTGGGGATCCTGGCAAAAGGTAAGTCTTGAGGTATGTTAGAATAGAATAGATAGTCATATGTTCTGAAGTAGTTTATTCATTCACTGAGCTGACACAGGTGATATCATATACACGTACAAAACCGTCAGCAATCCTGTCTATACATCGCGTGGTGGGTATGATATGGTATGGTAGGTATGAATGTAAGCATTATCACTGCAGGACAAGAAGGTCTGCAGGGGCGAAAGGAAACAAGTCAAAAAATCGTAAGATCTTCCCGGTATTAACGTAGCCGTATGTAGATCGGTGAAATGCGCGCTGGATGCAAGACGCTCATGCAGCAAATAGAAGAATCAGAGGTTCAAACGCCCCGTGGACGATGAGAGAAAAGAAAATGCCTGCCAAACTCCAAATGCAGAAGCTTCCTCGTTTGTCGAGGAAGAGAAAAAAGAAATCATTCGCTCAATTAGAAGCGTGATGTAAAATCATTATCCCAGCATCACGGCTGCCATAGTTGTGCAGGTCAGCCCTATAGCCATTCCAATCCAAGGTGTCTGTCCTAATGTGCCTTCGCTCCGCTTGGTCAACTCGGTCGACGACCGTGGTGTCCGGAGAGAAAGCGCTGTCCTCCTGAGAAGTGGAAGGGACACCAATTCTGGTTTCGCTTGGGTATCTGCGACCTGTAGGTGGAACATCTGTTGCGCTTCTGAAGGTATGTGCGGTTCGTCTTCTGGATGTGTTCGTACGTCTGGTAAGGGTCTTGACGGAGAGCCGTTCGGTAGTGACGGGCGGGGTGCGACGGCAGGCGGAAGAGGTTCAGCCGCTACGATGGCTATCGTGGGTGCGAGGCAGAGTATCAATGTAGAGGGCTTCATCGTGAGGGTTGGATTGTTGAGGTATGAGAAGTTGGCCAAGGCGCGCGTCGCAATCGAGAGTTGATAGGGGGCTGCGGACGGTTCGAGTGTTTCTGCGAGGTTCTGGTCGCGGCGACTAGGGGCCGCTCGAGGCGATAAATAGCGAGCCGTGTGGTGAAGAGAGTCGCGAAAAAAAGGCCAGACCGAGACCGGTTCGAAACGAGTGGCAGGCGAACCTCCTGAGGCGTGTCCACTGTCCACCGGTATCCCGACGACTAGGGCGAGAAATCAAACCACTCAACTCAGGCTCGAGATGTCGAGTCAGGAGCTCCAGACGGCATGTGTTTCAGGATCAACAATGGGCAGAGAAGGAAAATTTGAGGCAGGTTCAAAATGTTGCAGACAGGAACATGGAAAGGCTGGAAAGCTCGAACTGGAGAAATTATTTGGATCGAGAAGAAACAAAACAGCAATTGGAAGCCAAAGGGGCAAGGCCCAGGCGATGGATCCAAAGCTTCACGCTGACAGGCCAGACCGTTGACCCTGGCCAAGAAAGGCCCCTTGGCGTTGGACAGGACCCCAATGGCCGCACCCCCATTGGCTACATCTGTGCCGCGTCCGCACGGGCGAGGACTAGCGTGGGCCGATCGCTGTCTCGTGCAACCGTCCGAAGCTTGTCAGGGATTCGTTGCCAACGAGATGCTCCACCTCCCTGGTCTTGGCGGGCGCAGGGATTGACATCCTTGGCCACTGAGGGAGAGGCGTTTCAAGGCGGTCCACCCTGCGTGACGCAACACACCAATAAAACAGGGCTCACTAAAAATATCAAGATTCAAGACAGATGCATAACGCTTATTATTATACTCCGGGCAATGAGGCTTTGAGGACGCGCCTGCATACTTTGATGACGACAACTCGAACCTATCTGGCTTGGATTCCTTCCTCCTCTCTCGTGGACGGTGTATACTCCAAGTCTCCAACACGGCCGGGCGTACTCCGGTCCGCATCATAGTATCTTTTCCCAGTCTGGTGTTACAGTGAACTTGCCGCTTAACTGTCCCATCGCCCATACCTTGTGCTCGTCATCAACCACATCTTCCGTCACATTTGGCGGCGTTGAGGCGATCAGCGCTTCTTGCAGGAAATCAACTGCAGCTGCGCGATCTAATTCGAAACTGATCCCACCCCAATCCATGGTCACCCGGCCCGAAGCGTGCACGTTCAGCTTGCCAGCCTGCCCCGCCTTGAGCTGCCAGTCCGCTGCCGTGACAACCTTGGATTGTGTGCGTGCCGCGGTAGATTCTTCCAATCCGTCGAGCACTTCGAACTCCTCCTCGTGCTTCAGCCCAGGAATATCCGATTGTGCGCCATTGACCTCCGCGTTCTGCCCCGCGCCTTGGGGCGCAGCGGGATTTGGGGTGTCGGTAGCTTCGCCATCGGCGTTCGTTCCGTCGGCATTGGGTTCGATAAGGTTCGGGGTAATGGGGGGGAACTGCATCAAGAAGAGCTGCCCTGTTAGTTTATCATCTTGGGGCTCTGCCTCTTCGCCTTCTTCTGCCTTTTCCTTCCCTTGTTCATCAGTCGTCGTTTCTGCCCCCGCCTCCGCCTCTTCCGTAAGCTCGTTTGGTTTCGTTGGAGGTTCCTTGGTGAACAGGTCCTTGACTAGCTCCAGATCTTCTGCATGTCGATCGTACTCTTCAATATCTTCTTTGGTTCGTAGTAGGCTCTTTGGGTCCTTCACTGCGGGCACAGACGGTTCCCTCGAGTCCAGCTTCCGCCGCACCTTCTTCTTCGGGGCGGGTAATAACCCGTCATCTGTAGTAACAGGCTCTTCTGTATGTGGAACATCCATCATCGTCTGGTCGTTTTCATCTGTAGGCTCCTGCTTCACCCGGGTTTCAGTCTCGGTGGGCGTCTCTTCGTCGTCCTGCACGAAGAGCGCATCGTCATCCTTGGCTTTCCCCTTCGCCTGCTCCCGATGTTCGGCAGGTTTAGCTGTACTGGACTCCATATTCACGCTGACCACCCGATCCTCATGCTCGTGTCTCTCTACTCGAATCGGGCGTAGACCCTTGTCCCTTGCACTCCCCAAAGCAGTCTTCCCCTTATGCTGCTGCTGCTTCTTCTTCTTCTTCTGATCCAGTACCGCATCCTCTTCATCATCATCCGCGTCACTCTCCAAGTTAATCCTGTCAATGCTGACCCTGAGTTCCCCATCGCTTTCGTCGGAGGACACAGAGGCAGAGCCATCACCACCGCCACCGGTAGCCCCGGTCGTCATAGATTTACTCCTTCGTGACATTGACGGCCCTCTAGAGTCGCCGGTTCCAAATCTCGATCCTCCGCGGCCCCTCCGCGCAGCGAATCCAGAGCCTAGTGGTCCCGCCGCACCAGACATCCCCATCATTCCTCCACGCCCGCCGCGTCCCGCGAAACCGGCCCTACCCCTCGCTGCCATACTCGCTTTCCCGCGCTGGATCGCCGCAGCTTCTGCCAACCGCTCTGCATGCCGCTCGGCCTCAAGTTTCTCAATCGCTTCTCGCTCTTCTTTGCTGCGTCGTCCCACGGCTCGCGGTTTGTATTTCAGTGTCGGCTTCGAGGGCTCCCCTGGCCCGGGTCCTGCACTGGGACCGGGTCCAGGTCCAATGCTCCCCGAAGGTGCACGCTTCTTGAGAGACTGTAATCGTTGCACCGGTGCTCGCGTCGTGGTGCCTGGTGCGGGGGTTGGTGCGGGACTCGCGGAGGTATTAGGGGTAGGGTTGGAGCCGGGCTCGCCGCCGTTGCTGTTTCGTGCGGGTGCTGAGGATGCCCCTCGTCTGGGGCCGGCTTTGGGAGGCATGATGATGTCGTGAGTCGTAACTGGAGGTGTAATGGTGTGGATGAGGGAGTGGTTGGAAGGTGAAATGGAAATCTAGGCCCCAGCCTAGAGCGTTAAAAAGTAAAACACAAAATCCAGGCAAGAAAGAAACACTCAAAGCTAATTTAAGAAAAAAAACGGTCAAGTGCAATTCAAAGCTTGTCAAGTGTTTGAATAGTGAAGACTCATCGCTCGACAATTTTTGGCGGTAAGAAAAAGTTGAAGCGCGCGGCTAAAGGCGGAAATGCGGGGCAGATAAATAGCAACACTAAACCATATATGGAAGGTGCGATCATCGGCGGGCATAATTCTTTCCATTGTGGTGTTTGTGTACATACATATGATGGGCCACAGTGGCCAAACTCATTGAGGCCAGCAAAGAGTATTCTGGGGTAACGCGCATTGGCTAAGATAACCCGTCTAAGGTACTAGTAGGTAACGGAAAATCCATCCGTCAATCTAGATTTTATCTGCTAGAATCGTATCTTAACCCAGAATATATATTCCCTACGTAAGCCACTTAAGGTAGCCAGATAGACAATACCGGCAAGGTAAACAATAAAGGACACAATTAAAACAAAATCAAGGAGAAAAGGAGAATAAAATGAAAGCAATTCAAATCCGCACTTTATAGCAAATGAATGGAGGTGACTAGACCAGATCGTTGGCGCACCGTGTAAATAACAATCAACTCAAACGCCAAAAATAAACCCCACAATACTGAGATAAAAACTTGATCAAGTCAACCCGCTCAGTTTCAATCGCTAGACTATCCATGATAAACAAGACAAGCAACGTAGGCAGGTAGGATGTTATGTAGCAAGGTCGGATGTGAGTTCGGATGCGTAAAAGAGTGTGATGGGTGTTGGCCCATGGAGCGACAACAACAAGAGAGAGAAAAGGAGAGCCGAGAACATTAGTCCGAAGCCAAATTCGAAAGTAAAACTGCAAAACGAGAGCTCCCAATACAAGCGGAAGATTTTTTTTGTTGTCCATATCCTGTGCGAGCAATAGCGGCCTGGAAAGGCGGAAGCCATATAGTATACCACCAGTGAAGATTCCTATAACTTGGAAAACAAGGGTGGATGTATGCCAATGCCTTTTCCGCAACATCAGAAAGACCAGACGGGTAAATTTTGGTAGTCTATGTTGGACAAGACCAGCATGCGAAAATTTCTCAAGTCTTTTTTATTTCCCATCCCCGTATATCATGTTCGTTCACAATTTTATTCGTCGAAAAAGTACGTGTGCAAACAACGAGCGGCTTCAGTGGAGATGGCGAGTGAGGGCTATTCTCCAATGGACACGACCAAACGAGGCCTAGCGCTTGCGTTTCTTGCTCTTGTCAACCACAGAGGCGGTCATAGGCACGGCGGAAATTGGCGTTTGCACCTCACTACTAACTGAAACAGCATCATCTGTTTTTTTGACAGGGACGCCCATATGACGCCCGTAGCGACCTTTCCGGCCATTTCCTTCGTCCTCGCTGATGCAACCTTCGATGCCAATGCCTGCATCCTTGCATCGTCCACAAGGGCGCTGTCGGTCACACCCCTTTTTGCTCTTGCGGCATCTCTGGCAGCGTGGTTTTGTTGAGAGATCCTCCTCATCAGCGGCTAACGGGTGTTGGCCGTTGATAGAAGAAGTTGAAGCCTTGCGAGGGGGGGCAGGGTTAACAACCTGAGGTGGTGCAGCTTTGTTACCGGGGACTGTCGGCGTGGGCTTGACCTTGCGGGAAGCACTAGTAGAGGAACTCTTAAGTCCATTCTTGTTTGGGCGTATTTGCGTTGGCTTGGGGCCACGGGCCTTAGAAGAGGTCGTGCTAATGGCTCGAGATTTGATTTTCTTCGCTTTTGGCATAGAATCATGGAAGGAATCTTCATCGACCTCGTTCTTAACCATGCCACCCTCGAAATTGCCATGACGATACTCATTATCAGGACTGTCATAACTAGCGTCGGAGCTGTCAAAACTGGGGAGAATATCATCCAACCGCTTGTGTGTGTGTTTGGCAGCGCCTGGTGGGAGCATTGGGCTTGAGTCAAGCCTCTCCCGGGGACGAGCAGGTAGATCATCGTCGTCTTCACTGTATCCTTCACCATCGCTTGTTGCGCCAGTAGAAGATGCAGCATCAGCAGCGCCACTAAATGCATCATCGAGTGTCGACGCTGAGGTGCGCCCATGAGAGAAATTGGAGGCATCCCCAAGGCGTATCAATTGCATCGCAACATCTTCGTCAGAGATGCAGCTGGCGATGGTAGGGTCAGGAGTGGGAAGGATCCCAGGACCACCGGTCCGGCCAGCAGGATTTGAGAATGGCACCGACGAGTGTAAACTTGTTCGGTCGCGCAGACGGTGTCCATGCTCTGGAACCATTGGGGTTGTATATATGCCATTTCGTGTAGAACCAGCACCATAAATGTGATCACTGTGCCCATAACTTTGAGGAGAGGGCAATGGCTGTTGGTAAGGATTGTGTGAACGGTGCATTGGTCGAGCGAATGGTGAGCCGACGCCTTCCTGCCCAATAGAGCGACGTTGCGGTGAGATGGAGGAAGTTGAGGCAGTGAGAGGAACCTGAGGAGGAACAAATAATGGAAGTTCCTTTTAGAGAAAAAGAATCAGCAACTCGATCAATGAGAAAGTATTGAGAATAAGTATTCTCAACTCACAGAGCTATCGAACTTGGGTCGCTTGCGACGACCATCTTGAAGAATATTTTCCATGCTGATCTCTGAGCTGGCAAAATGTTCACTTCGAGCCTTCTTTGCCCCGGAAACGGAGCCATAGCCACCGTCACTATCACTATATCCAGCATCATCATAGATGCTGCCATGAGTGCTAGAGCCCCTACTCTTGAGCCCTGGCCGGGAGAGCTGTTTGTGCTGTGAGGCGCTACGACGGCTCCTACCGGACGGTGAGACGCTGCGCTTGCGAGCGACCCGGGATGCCGGTCGAGACGGCGATTGCCCGTTCTCTGAGGGTTGCATTGCCTGCATTGTTGATGCCATTTGGAATGGCTCCCCCAAGCTGGGGCGTTTGCGATTGTCAATGGGCATGGGGCCATAATACATATCCCCGTATCCCTCTTCGTAGGCCTGGACGGGCATTACCCGAACATAAACCGTCATGTTATTTTTTAGATTCTCATATCTTGCAATGAGGGTGGTGTTGTGTTCATCCTCAAAGCTAACACCAGCAGCGCCATCGTAAATTCCATAGAAGTTCTTAACAGTGGTGACAATGGAGTCTGTGGTATCATGAGGGTAGATTTGCACCCGCATGGGGATGCGGGCTCGGGCCTTGGAGTTCTCATCGAGTAGCAGCTCGAAAGCGACATTTTTTGGACTCGGGCTTTTGGTTGGGGAGATGTCTTGGAGGGGGCGATGGTCGGTGTAGGTAGGCGACTCCCCAGGAGAGGCAAGCTGTTCATACTGGACAGCCTGCATGGTGGAAACGGTCCAACAGGGGGCGCTACCACGCTTCTACTACATGTATTATATGATCAACTGGCTGTTCGCTGAGCGAGAGGACGAAACGAGGAGGGCGGGGAGAGTCAAGGTAGAGGGAGACGGCAGCAATAGGGTATGGGTAGATTTCATCCAAACCTACCACAAGAAGAAATATAGAGGAGTCTAGTTGATAGATAGACCACCCGCGATTATTTTGATGCAACGATTGATGACCGAAGGTGGTGGGTGGTAAGAGGGCGATGCAAGTCGCAACAGCCGGGAGCGACTGGGCCGGGAGAGAGGGAAAAATGGGACGACGACGAGAAAACTAGGCAGAACGTAGCGACCAGCGTGAGTATATTTAGTTTTTAAAGTATCGAATGGATAAAACAGTTCGAAGAAAGGGCATCAATTAGGATTTGGGATGTCGACCCCCATCCGTCGGATCCTGATGGGTTGCAGACGTTGCAGGTTGAGGGGGAAGGGAAGAAACGGTCCGAAGTGCTCGGAAGAGGATGGAGAGCACGAGGGACTCACCTATTTCGGACCCAGAGACTCCGTAGAGAGTCGCACAGGGTTAGTAGGTGTATGAATGCCGTGAGAAGGCAGTCGATGATAGCGGACGAAGCGGTTCGATGGTGGTGGAGGAGAGAAGGTGAGTCGATTCTACGCAGCGCTTGTTGGGCTATGTCAGCGGTGGCATCGACCATGCAGAGCGGGAGCAAGCCAGGGGAACAGCGAGGCCGAGGGCAATCAAAGAATGGACATCGGGCTTGCGGAAGACATGAAATGCATACTAACCAAGCAGCGATGGACAGTGAGTCGCAGAAAAGGCAGAGTCGGACGGGTGGTGGTGGTGAAGGTGTTGGGTTGAGAAGGAAGAATGAAGAGCGATGATCCGGTTTCACCTCCAAGCGAGAGCATCACTTTGGCTATTTGGGTTGGCAGCCCTCAATTGCCCTCACCAACACCCACTACCATCTTTTTACGTAGCGTCCTATCTGAATTGATTCTCAAGTTTTATTTCCTACTCTTTTGGTTGCCATTTGCGCTGCAATTTTGGACGTCGCAAACTGCTGGTTTGCGCTGCCTCCGGTCGATATAGCTTGGACAACCAAAAGCGAAAATAGAAAATGAATCGCATCAGACGTAAAACGAACTGCAGAATACCGATCGCCGGCAGTTTTTCTACTATACTAAAAACTTCCTGCTCCTAGGACTGGGCCAGTGTGCCGTAATTGAGGATGTGCGAAATGCGACAGCCGCTCGCCCTGAGCGCCGAATATCTACAACTTACTGCCTCCGCGCACACTTTCCGTAATTTTGAATGCTATTAAATAATTGAATATTATTTCTGGGATACTCCGGCTAAACCGAATAGTGGGAGATTGCAAGCGTAGACAGAGCGATGGACAGAACAGCTAGAGGGGTGTCTCAAGCCGCGCAGCCACGTCGAATGACCTTCGGGTCACCATTTGGGCCAACGACTGGCGGAGAGCTCTTGAAACAATTTATACTAGCAGCATCCTACTCGCTGGCCACTTTGATTCGATTGCGCCTTCGCGCGAGTGAGCGAAGACTGATGAAAAGCATATTCCGGGGTGTTCACCGAGTGGCACGAGGTGCACAGTAGATATCCGTGGACATCCCTGGCGCGGAACAGCCAGCCGGGCAGGAACCGTCGCTGTTGCAGGTTAAAAAGGTCTGAGAATCTGATTTTCAAGATCTAAATGTCTCTATTTTCAACATCAGGCTACTAAATGACCGATCGATGGGCGGCTTAGCTCTATATGGTGCGTGGGTGAGACTGCAGCGCAAATCATTAAGGTCGGGGCCGACTGGATTTAGGGGAATTTACGACTCGGCAGGATAAGAAACAGACAGAAGCGACAGTCAGAACGAACGCATTCTCCGCGTGAGCGTTGTGATGAATTGTCAGAAGAGCCACCACCCACCGGCGGAGTGGGTGGCCCAAACCAATTGCTGCGTCTTTTCGTGATCTGCGCCTGTCCAGACTCGCTCACGAGTCACTCTCCTCCAAACCATCGCTTACCCCTCCCTCGTCTGCGATAACTAATGGAGCTATTCTACGTTAGGATTGAGGATTCCCCGTTGAGCTTCGGCCAGAGGAGCTCCGTGATTCTATCTACCGGTAGATATCGTCGGAGGTATACTCGACTGGGCTGTCCTTAGTTATTACCAACCCTGCAGGGCCGGTGCGACATCGCACGGTCACCCAAGGGTCCCCGCCTAAATATTGCTTTAAACCTGTCGCATTCTAATCTTGATTATCGCGGTTTCATGGGAAGAAGCGCAGAGGCCGATGAGGCGCGAGCGAAAAGAAGAGAAATCAGGAATGCCTTTGGCCGGGTGGGGGAAGTTGGAGGATGTGAGTGAGTCTTCCCAACGATCCCGGTCGTCGCGTATATAATATATGTATCATATGTAATCGGTCTTGATGTCAAGGTCAAGTTGGAGCGTGCGAATTACGGATATTTGAGAAGCATTCGCCTTCTGTGTTGGTCTCGACAAAAGAAAAAGCTGAAAAAAGGCAAAGAGAGACGATGCAAACGACTGGGATCTCTTTCTTTCAGTTTCTTTCGGAACGAGGCGGGGCTTTTTTTTTTTTTTGTCGAGGAGCGAACGGTGAGCTCTCAACCCAGCGCATTTCGAGAAATTACTAGTTGAAGCGTACACCGAAAGTTTGGTGGCGGATTGCATGCGACAGTTCTCCGCTCAGAAAGAGCAGCGCTTAATCCTGGTTCGGTGCCATCGTTCTGCGACTTCTGAACAACAATACCCTGGAGTACTGCTTGTGCGCCAAAACGTCCCAATGAGATTCAACGGCGTTCGTCGATGGCGACCTCTGTGGAGGATCCCTTTGCCCTGGTGGTCGGCCATCTGAAAATGCGACGAAAGGCCCCGAACCCGCAGGCTGATGATGATAGGTACCGCCGGATCCGCGTCCCACATTGGGGATCTTGTGGCTTTTCTGGCGACACTGGCAATCGTCCGGGTGCAGACGGAGTCACCTCCTCACAGAAGCGCTGCGATGAAGACGTGGAAATTAATTCCCAGCCATCCCCTGCGGAAAAATGGCATTTTAGCTCTCAGAGCCTGTTTCTGAACCAGACCTTGGATGGCAGTGTTTCCCGCAAGGTTTTTGGCACAGGCCAGCGACCGTTCCCCCAGGACTCCGACCAATTGGTGATCGCCGGCTAGAATTTGTTGCGAAACGTTGTATCTGCAGCCCAATCTCCGCACTTTTGAAGTCGCAGCGCATCGAATCGAAGAGTACCCATTGCGAACGGCCGGCAGTGAGGCGGGATGCGACAATCACGTGAGTTCGTGTTTAATGGGTTCCGGCCGCGTGCCGACTCGCGCGTTCCGAGCCCCGGAGAGTTGCTTGGGTTCAGCGCCTCACAAAACTTATAAAAACTTAAATCCAGGATACATGTACGATCGCAGGTACTGAATGGACGAGCCAAATAATTATGCTTGATTTTCTGTGTGGTTGTTGGGCGTTTTATTGGAGGCGGGCGCATCTGCGGGCAGTAGGGAGGACGTGTAGCGATGATGTCATTTACAGGTACCCCGCAAACACAGCAAACAATGCTGACATAATCTACCTTGCCCTGCGACCGGAACGAGCCTAGCGTGGTTGTTGTTGACGATTTCCAAAAAGGGAAGTAACCGCTTTGAGCAATGCCGTTCCCCAGGCAGTCGGATGGTTTTGCTTGCAATCCCTTTGTTTTCCAGCCCTTTCTGGACGTGAGGGCGATTTCTTTACTTTTCCTCTGCCGGGCCCCATGGAGCTGTACTTTTCCTTGTCCCTTCATTAATATTCTTCTTTCCCGCGCGTGGTTCAGAGCAGCCAGTCTTCGCCTGCCTTCTGACTGGGTCGTTGTCCGGTGCGTCTCTAAGACTTGGCGCGGCTTTTGTTGTTTGTTTGGGGTCGACTTTGAGTAGTATCAGCTCGCCTTTTCAGGCCTACTTCTCGACAACCCTGCCCACGCTTGAAGCCAGGAAGTAAACAATCACCTGGCCCTCCTTCAGATTGTCGTCTACACTCTGGTGAAGGCCTCAGTCCTCAATTGCCTCACAATGGACGCAAAGGTATGTTCTTCTCTCGTTGCTTGCTTTGCCATACAGCTTCACGAACCACAACATGCCCTATCGTTGAGACGCTTATTGTCTATGTCTTCACAATATATGGGCTAACTTCTTTCCAACTGTAGCCCCAACGCATTCGTGTCCGCGCGGACGAGAATGCTCCCTTCCCTCTCGCCGCGAACAAGACACTCCAGCAGCGAACCAAGTCCACTACCGCGTTGTCGTCAAACTTTCAGAATGGTGGCAATAAAAACGGACCTCGCCGAGCAGCCTTTGGGGACGTCAGCAACACTGCCAACCTAGTCCATGGTAACCGCGACGATTCCTCCCTTGCGGGCAAGAAACCTTCCAAAGTGCTGGAGAAAGCGCCACTGGCTGCGGAGAAGAAGCCAGCAGCACTATCTCAACCTGCTCAACGTCCTGTATCGATGTCTGGACTAAAGGGTCTGCTGAGCAATGTCACCAACCCGAAACCGCTTGAAATTTCGAAGCAAACTGCAGGACAGCAACAGAACACCAATGCCCGCAAAACTCTGAACAAGCGCGCTACGGTCTTCAAAGACCATTTAGAACCATTGACGGAAAATAGAGAACCCACATCCAAGGAATCCACCATTGAATCAAAGGAAGGCAACACTAAAGGCTATACTGAACGCGTGCAGCAGGACGACGTGATAGAAGCTGTCGATTCAGACGAGGTTTTGGAAACCCAGCTGAGCAAGCTTGAGGCCTCGCTCGCCAAATCTGAAGCCGATGAAGACGAGAAAGACACCCAGGAACTCGAAGATGATGATTGCAAGGTGCAAGCCGCATTGAAGCAAACCAGCGAGATCCACGAACGCCACGCTGCAGTGGACTCACGCGAAGTTAAGCCCAGTTCGAAATCTTCGAGCAAATTCACCACGGCTCCGCGTATTTCCCATGATTATCTACCTCACCAGTCGGAACCCGAGGAGTATTGGGATGACGAGGATGAAGAGAATGAGGAAGACGATGGCTACAACACTGCTCGCTCCTACCGCTCCCGAAGCGAGAACACAACAGGTGGAGCGACCACGCTGTTGTTCCCCAGATACAACCAGCAAGCCAAGCGAGAGTTGGCACTTGCAAAACAGGTCGTCGAGGCTACTCGGACGGTTGAAGACATTGAAGATGATTACTGTGACACAAGCATGGTGGCCGAGTATAGTGAGGAGATCTTTGAGTACATGAGAGAGCAAGAGGTATGTGCACTTCCGACCACAGTAACATAATTATACTTACAATTACTTCCAGATCAAGATGTTGCCCAATGCGCATTATATGGACAATCAAGCTGAAATACAGTGGTCCATGCGATCTGTTCTCATGGATTGGCTGGTGCAGGTTCACCACCGCTTCTCGCTACTCCCTGAAACACTTTTCCTATGCGTTAATTATATTGATCGTTTTCTCTCCTGCAAGATCGTTTCTCTTGGCAAACTTCAGCTTGTGGGCGCAACCGCTATTTTCATTGCTGCCAAATATGAAGAGATCAATTGCCCGTCAGTGCAGGAGATTGTCTATATGGTTGATGGTGGTTACACGATCGATGAAATCCTCAAGGCCGAGCGGTTCATGTTGAGCATGCTCCAGTTTGAGTTGGGATATCCTGGTCCTATGAGCTTTCTGCGCAGAATCAGTAAAGCTGATGATTATGATCTCGAAACCCGTACACTTGCGAAGTACTTTCTGGAGATTACCATTATGGACGAGCGATTTGTTGGCAGCCCTGCGAGTTTCCTAGCTGCAGGTGCTCATTGCTTGGCGAGGTTGATGCTGAGGAAGGGCTCATGGGTAAGTCATTTTCTATCTCCCTAAATATACAAGACTGACGATTTGATAGTCACCTGCCCACGTGCACTATGCCGGATACACCTATTCTCAGCTTTATCCACTCGTTTCTCTGATGATGGAATGCTGTGAGATGCCTCGCAAACATCATGCGGCTATCCACGAAAAGTACACCGATAAACGGTTCAAGCTTGCCTCCCTCTTTGTTGAAGCCGAAATGAGAAAGAACTTTCGCCTGCCAGAGCCAACCAAAGAAGGTTCTATTCTCGAGCGCAAGATGACACCAGAACAAGCACACTACAGGCGAGTATAATCGCCCATACGTGTGCTTGCTTTTCTTACCTAAAATATCTTTTTCTTGCCTCTCTTCCTTTTGTCAAATTTTCTTGCATTGACAAGAACGATTGGCCACGCGCCTTTTCCTCTGTTGCAATGGAATAATAGCCTTAAAAGGGGACCAGAACGGTGATGTGAGTGTAAGGACGTCACCATTCTTACAGCCATTCGGGCCTTATCTGGCATATGTGATATGGACGCTGGCCGCCACGAGCAGGTTTATTCTCACTTTATCTCAACGAAAACAACATGTCGAAAACCGTGAAGGTGTGACAGAATTCGACCTCCAGGGTCTTGACAGCTTCTCTTTATTTTCTTTTCTACGCCTTTGATGACTGGTGGGCTCTTTTATGATTCTTACGCATTTGGTATTTAGACTGGGGGTGGTAATGATGGCAATCGGATACTGAGCGGGTGGAGTTTTTCCTTTTTATTCCTGCATCGTTTTCATGAGTTAAGATACCAAAGGCCATGCTAGTGGTAGGTGCTTGGAAGAGGTGGCCCTTCTGCGGCGTCTACGACTTCCTCGCTACAACTCATGATGTTCTAAATTCCATACTTATGGCCTGAACCGATCTTTGATATGGTTTCTTTTTCTTTTTCTTTTTTTTTTCATTCCCTATGTTCATATTGGGACTCGGTTCTTTTCTTTACCTTCTCAACTTTGATATCTCGTGGGTTATTGCTCAGGATTATGGCGCTAAGTAATGATATTGGATCTTTTTTATTGCTTCAATTACATGACTGGTGCACGTGTAGGGTAATTAGCGACCCGAGGAAGTTCTCTGGGTTGTTTGATAGTTCCTGAGCCTCTGTCCCACTCTAAATTCTATGGCATGCTAACCCTGGTATATATATCTCTAAGTCTAAAATCTTCCCCGTTATTCGGTAGACAGATATTGCTCATCGTTGATCCAGAGAGAGAAAAAAGGCCGACATCCTACCGATCCAACCCGTTAAATTCAATCAGCTTTTTCACCACATCGATAACTCGATTCGCAATCCTATCTTTCACCGATGGTGCATTGGAAGACGAAGAGAAGGGGTCCAAAAAGGAAGCTGGATTATCAATCCTCGTTGCAATAATTTCATCGACCATCGTGCGGAGTCGCGAAACCAGGACACCGATTCGGGCCCAGCCGCGGAGGCGCAGCCATCCGTCGACGATGAGACCTCGACCTGTTGTGTCGAGGTCAATGGAGCCACAGAATAGGAGGAGAGAGTACGCGTTGAACGCTGTTTATGATGTTAGTTCAGCTCTTCTTTCGGACTTTCTGTGTTGGAAAAAAAGCGCATCGATTATGGATGTCAGTGAGGGATATAATACTCACGTGTTAAGTCACGGACGAAAACTTTTGAGGTCTCCATTTTTGTGAAATAGCTTAAGAACGTGGCAGCGTTGGAATAAGACTGTACTGAGAAGAGAAGGGATGATGGGTGGATGAAGACGCGGCCGTTTTCTTGGTTGAAGTATTTTATTGTGCGAGCGTCTGGGTCAACCTCGAATGTCCCGGTGATAGAGCTGGTAAATTTCTTATCTGGAAATGCGATGCGTGCGATTTGAGGCTGGAATGCACCAGCGACGAGGGCGCGAAGAAGGCTACGGTTGGTAGCATTACGGTTGAGGCCTGAGAAGGAAGTAGAAGTTTCAGAGTAGTTGACGGGAACGATTGCGGCATCTTTAAGAGATGTAAGGAACTGAGCTCTGTTTGATGAGATATCGCGAAGAGTCTGGTGAGAGAGGAAATTGGCCGTGCACCATGATTGAGTTGACCAGTAGCCTTGCTCCTTGACGCGGTCTGCCCATTCCTGATAAGCATTCAAGTCCGTGAGGAGGTCGCCATCTCCTTTGGAAAATGAGGCCCGGGCGGCGTTTGCTTCCTCCCGTCTCTCACGAGGGGAGACAAATGGGCTTTTCACTGTTAGGATAGCGGCGATTGTGATGCAGGCATCGATGCAATTGAATATGGATCCGTATACCATTAACTTTGCACAACGGAGATCTGCAGGAATCATAGACAAATATCGCCCAAGAGCCGTGAGTCTGTCATGATCTAGAGCTCCAACTCGGTGTAGGAAGCTAAGGGCGCCCTCGACTGCAATGCTTTCCGGTGGGGTGATGGTGTTTGCGAGGAAAGAGGCAACATCGTCAATTCCTTGCATGGAACGTACAGAAAGGCACAGCTGCTCCAATGGTACACGCCGGATTTCAGGATCTGGCCGCTGAGGCATGCTTGATTCTGCTTTGCGAGTGTAGAGCTTATAACATGTACCGGCCCTAACACGACCGGCTCTTCCGCGCCGTTGCTTACAGGCAGCCTGTGAGGCCCATACCTCCTGTAGACGAACCATATTATCTTTGGGATCATAGCTGGTTTCTTTCACACGTCCTGTATCGATGACGGCCACGATATCTTCGATCGTAATTGATGTTTCTGCCACATTGGTAGCTGCGATAACCTTCCGCTTCCCTTTAGGAGGACTCTGGAATACACGTCGCTGTTCAGCTGGGAGAAGAGACGCATGTAAAGGCAACGGATGTGCGTTGGGAATCCTTTTTACGGCATTCAGGCATCTATCGATCTCCATTGTTCCAGGTAAGAATATCAGAATGCCCCCTGGCTGATCTTGTAGCTTAGAGTCAATATACCGAACGGTAGATGCAATCAATTCGTAGTTGATACCCATTCCAATGGAACGAAGTATCTTTCCAAACGACTCTTCTGCGGCTGAAGATACGACTGGATCATCATCAAAACCTTGCTCTGGGAGCTCCGGAGCAAATCCCGTCTCGCGAACAACGTCATCCAGGTAATAGTCATCCACAGGGAAAGTTCGTCCGGGTATATGGACCAATCCCACGGATTGATGCCCGCCAA